CTTCCTGCAGAAGAGGCTTTGAGAGCCTGTTTCCTCATAGCCAACCCACAGGGCATGCATTCAAAAGCCCCTCATTAGGCCTCTCTTTGCAGGCAAACAAATATCATTAATCTTGGTAAAGTGAGTGAAAGCACATTCACCTGTCCAAGCAAGAGAATTAATGTTGTGTCAATAGGAAATTAGTGTTTACCTCTGGCCTTTACATCTTCCCTTTGTTACAGAAAGCCCAGGGCGGACCAACCCAAATGCAGAGCCATAGTCAGAGAAGAGAAAAATAAAACTTCCCAATGCAGGTGCCCCCTGGGAGTATTCTGAGGATGGGATACCAGGTGACAGGAGAGGCCCGGCTGAGCATGAATTCCCTGGTGCAGGGAGAGGACAGGAGCCGTCCCTGGCCTCAGACAAGGTGAGTGGTGACAGCAGTGCCTTGGGGTCAGAGGTGCTCATTGGACTGTGAGCTCTAGGGAGACATGCTCCCCACCCTGTGCAGACACACACAGTTGGCTGCAGGACGCTCCTTTTCTTTCCCGCACACGTGACTATGATTTCTTACACCAGGCGGGCAGTGCAAGGTGCTCACAGGCTGAAGGGGACAACGTTACTGACCAAGGAGCTGCTGTTTATTGAGAACCCACTAAGGACCAGGCACCGTGTGTGGTGACTGACAGCTATTCTCTAAGAATCCTACAAAGCAGGTATTCTGCCTTTTTCTCAGATAAAGAAGACACTACAATGCAGAAAAATTCAATAGGTTAGCCTCAACGCCATGCACAGGGAGAGGTGGATTTGAACCCAGTGTTACTCCAAAGCTAGCGTTTCCCCCAATAATCATCACACACACACACTTCCACACCAGGAGGGGTCAGCTACAGCACGTGAGGTCAAGCGTAAAGACAGGAAGTCTCCGAGAAAGCCCTTCTCTGTTCCCCGTCCCCTCCCCCACTGCCCCAGGAATGCCTCCTGGCAAGAGGTTAGGGAGAGGCAGGGCTGGGACAACTAACTTGAGAGTGTGAGGGTGTGGGTGTGTGCATGCCTGTGTGCCCCAGGAAAAGAAACCAAACAGGCAGATAAGATCTCTTGTTTCCAGAGCAAGCACCAATTAAACACAAGGCAGATGTGAGCAAATAAAGCTGTGGCGTCCAGAGAGAAAATCAATACTAGATTATATGTTCTTGCTCAATCATATACCAATTAATACAGAGCAGGTGGGGCTGGGTGCTGGGGGAAGGTAAGTCCAGCCTGCATCGGGGGACTGACCGCCCTGCCCCCTGCTTCCTCACAGTGCTGGCCCTGATTCTTAAGGGCCTGGGCCTGAGGTCTCTGGGGGACACCTGTGTGAATGTTAAGTATGAGGGAAGGAGGATAAAAGGAGCTTCCCCTCACTCCTGTAGGCAGTTGGGAGCAGAAGGAAGGAGGACAAGGTGGCTGAGAGGTGCTTTGGGAGGGTGGTACCCACTGGAAAGGAACAGACAACTAAGACCAGGCAGACAGGCAGCTTGATATTAAATTTGCCATAGAAAAAATTAAGGGGTTTGCTTTTGGAAATTTAGGCAAACATGAGAAAATTGGAAACCAAATTTCCACCCCCAAGAAATGATATGGAAGCCCCTGGTTATTCCACCCATGTTTTATTTAATTCAGAACATACAGTCAAGCCATCAATAAATAATTTTCAAGAAGGGTGATAAAAGCACAGGACTGGGTGATCGTGGGGATGGAGTGGTCCAGATCCTTCCATGGAAGAGCTTCAGGCACATCACCAGGGTGCCAGGAATGAGGCAGCGTGACACAGCCATCTGCCAACAGGGTTACCAGGTTGAGAGGGCTCCTAACCTAGGGAGGTGGCTCTACATCATCAGAATAAGTAAAAAATGCCAATGTCCAGGGAGAGGAGATCTGGCTGCCATCTGGGTGCCTGGCCTCGAGGGCTGTTTCAGACGTGAAGTCTTGTTCATGTCGGGGCAGGACACCTGGTCCAGTGCAAGCATACCTTTCCTCAAAAATTCCCAACACCCTTGGGAAAAGGAGACCCAAGGTTGTGCGGGAAGCAGAGAACAAAAGTAGAAGGAAAGGTGGCAAAACTGTGCCGAGAAGGGTATCTGCTTCCGTTTTTTCCCACAGGAAGCCCCTCTGGCCAGAGTCCCTCCTGTAACCTGAATATTCCTGGACGCAACCTCCAGACACAGAGGCCCTTTTTCAAGTGGGAGTTCTGTGGGCCAAGGACTGTTGCATGCCAAAGAAAGACGAAATTTGCTAGCCGAATATTTTTTAGACATTTTGCAAGATGCACGGCCTCTCTGACAATTTTTAATGTACTAACTGCCTGGTCCAGTGAGCTGATTAATTGGTGCTGGAGAGATCAATAAAAAACAGAAAATTAAAACAATTTTAAAGTGATTAAGTAGTTTAACACCTGTCTCCCGTCACGTCAGCGCAGGAAGAAAAATAAAGCAGGTGTCGAAGGGGCCTTCTGAAGCCGGAGAAAACAGCGCCTGCCTCGAAGAAATGACAAATCACAGCTGGTGGATCAATCTGAGTGCAAGCAGCCTTTCCCCAAGCCCCCTGCTACAGCAGCAGGAACCAG